ATTTCTAGTAACTTGTCATTAGTACACGCAAGTTTCATTTTGCAGATATTAGGCTAACGGAATTGAACGCAATTTCACGTAGTAGAAATAAAACAGTTATTCGGGCTTGAGTACTCTGCACAAATTATGCGCGACGTCTGGAACTAGTAATACCTCTGATATTGCCAGGGTAATTTTATCGGGGAATTCCCGAAGAGTTTTTCCCTAAACTCGATTACCCAGTGTGTACTCTGCGCATTTTAGCGCGCCGTGCCGAAATATCGATCATTCGAAAAATCTTTTATTCAGTCGGAGGTTCTAACGTTATTTCCATATCCGCGTCCGCGTCGTTGTTTGAGTTTACTCAAGAAACGACTGAGAATTACGCGCGAGCGAGTAACGCTTTCGAGCAAGCGCCAGATGCGCGCTGGAACACACCGCATCATGCTGGATTTACGCATCGTACAATTCTTGCGTGAGAGCATTTTTCTAACAAATTCCGCTAGGCTTTCCAACTATCGGCATTTCTGTCGGGAGGGAGAAAAATACAAGTTTATACAAAATCAAAACATGTAACGGGGAAAAAAGATGAAAATTTCAAGTATACTATGTAATGTCCTCTTTTTTTCTTCTCATTTTTACTAATTTCGTGATGGATACGAAAATATCGGATAAACTGAACAAGGAACTTTTGCCACGAAGCGCTTTTCCGCTTATCGCGGCTACTTGGCACGGGCGAGACGATGATCGTGATGCCGTTACTCTCGGTATGATAGTTTTAGAAAGCCAAGCCGCGATTCAAATGGGTCAGCGAGCGCCCGCTCGGCCATATTTCGGCTAGTCGTTCCTTGGATAAACTTCAAACGGCTCAGCTTTTACGAAATGAAAGCGAATGCATGAGACAAAAGCGCTAAAGTTAGGGGACAGGGGATACACGGCGGACAATCCTTTGTGACGGATAGATTTCGTTAATCCAGCGTAGCTGGAATGTAATACTAGGAAAGACTTTTGTCGTTCTTCCTGATATTAGATTTAGTATACAGTATAATAATAGTGAGGGCGAGCAACTATTTGCGCAACAACAATTAACGGGATAATTAATGCTCGCTTTTTCGGACTCATAGTTTCCATTACTGGAATCATACGAACTTTCAAGCTGACTCGAGGCACACACTGACCGAAATATAGGCGAGCTATTGACCCATTCGCGTCGGTTGCGCTCTCTAAAAACCGCAGCGACAAAATGCATCTCTCTCTCTCTCTCGGTAGCGGGGATAAATCCCTCGGTTTGCGATCGGGATAGCATTCGCACGGAATATATCGATACTGCGAGGCGAACTTTTCAATTTACGCTGAAAAGTCCCGGCCGCCTAATGCGCGTAATCAATACAGTCGCCGTGCGTACGTACACAAACGCGTGCACCCCGGATGAGCAAATATATGGACGAGTGGGATACACAAGACGTGTCTCCCCAGGAGGGACTCGAAATCGAATTTGCGGTGGGAATTATAAATTACGCGGCCGTGGTGCCCGAAATTGGATCAAGGCGAACAGGAGAAGGGGATAATATCTAATATCGCTTGTTGGAGGCGATATTAGAAATGGCAAATCAATTTTTGACGCCATGGCACGTGCGTGATCGAAATTTCACACCACGACGGAACGCGCTCGTCGAGTTCGTTCGGCAGCCGCGGGCGGCTGACATATTTAAAACCGCGACTACTGTAACAAAGGGTTGCGGCACTCTTTTTTTTTTAGCGAGGTTAGGAACGTGCACGTTTAGATTCAGGGTTAGATAATTTTCAACATCAGTGATTTTTGTTGACCGTATCTGGCAATTAAAATTCTATTACAGCCCCAGTGGTCGAGCTAGCTAAGACGCCCGTCACAGATTGTAGGGAGGTCCCAGGTTCGAATCCTGGCTGGGGTAATATTTTTCGCAAAAAGAATTTTAATTGCCAGATACGGTCAACAAAAATCACTGATGTTATTAATTTATTAATTACTTGTGGCAACTTTAAGAATATTCTTATTAGATAATTTTCCTCAGAGAAAATGTTTTGGAACGTAAACCCTAAACTCATAAAATCACTGTTGTAGGATAATTTGATGCGCAGCTCTTTCATTCGCCGTATCGTTAAGTTAATTATCATTAATGAGATCAAGTTCTTTCTATCGCAACAGCAATGCCGTTCGCACGCTTCGGTATTAATGGCAATGTTTGCCGATACGCGAATGTCGATGCGCGTGCAACAGCACCAATAATTTATTTACAATGCGTGGAAGTTTGCGCGAAAGGGCGCTTTTAATCCCCGCAGGGAGGCGAAGCACATATGTACACAATACTTTTTCGACCGCCAAATTAATTCGTGGCATGGAGAAAGATGAAACGTATACGCGAGAGCTAAATGCAATCTGGTTAACGTATTAATTACCTGATACGATCCTATCGAAAATGTTTGTTAATTAATGTTGCATAACATTGGATTTAATAGCCGATTCGATTTCAAAATTCGCGTAGGATATGGGATTTGTTAGCGAGCCGCAACGTGTTATTAAATTCACGAATAGTTGACCAATCTTTTTGCGCAGTTTTATATTTTATTTATACTGACGCATCAACACAGCGGCGTAACAACATAAATTACACTGCTAGTTTTAACGGTTCGCCCCGCCACGATCAGTTACGTCATCAAACTAATAAACGAGTCACGCGCGGGCGTAATTATCCCACAGAATTATTGTGTAATATCGATGCACAAGATCGGCGTGATGATTCAAAGGCTGCGTTATTAGCAATAATCTTATTTAAATCGACCGTGATTTGATTGCAGTTATACAGCGATGCCGGCCGGAGCTAAAATCAATACTCATTTGGCTGCTGTCCGCCGCAGCACGGTTTCGCAAAAAGCGTTAAAATCTGCCTGAATGTTCAGCCGGGCATCGAATTGTCGATAAGGTTAAAACGCATGACATCACGACGTACTGATTTGAGGGAGATTGATGAGAGAGAGAGAGAGAAACGTGCGGTTTCCTGCCGTGTACTATATGCGTGCGCGCGCGCGAGAATGTGCACCCGGTTAAATCAGTGTATTGTTGGGGATGGTCGGAGACGCGAAACGGTTTGGGGTCAGTGTGTTACACATGCCGCGGTACGGTGACTTTTTTGCCGATCCGTTTTTCACAACCGGGCGTTTTGCCGGCGGACTGTTTCCCTGCAATTTGCGCGAGAAACGTACGTCAGCCGTGCCTCTCCAATCTTTTTGCCGGATGCACTTTTGCATCGATATTATCGTCTGATAATACAACCGAGAGTATCGAGACTCTTTCAATCTGTCTTTAGCGGTTAAAAGATGCGAAAGTAGCGCGCGCGACGTCTCTCTTTAATTTACGAGCAGCATAATGGAGTCTTCTCGTCTCGAAATATTGTATTATAGTATACTACCTAACTGCAAACTGCCAAATATGCTGGAATCAAATTGAAAATAGCGGATCAGGAAATCATTTTAATGATTCTATATCTGTAATAGTCGTAATTGGGATTTTGCGGCTTCGATTCCACTTCATTTCGATTTAGGTCAAATACGAGAATAAAAGTAAACCGATTAACTCAAACGCTAATTTAAAATGTGTCCTGAAAATTATGTAATCGTGGAACAACCTGGCATTTCGAACAATTTTATTCGAGTTTTTCGACATTTCAAAGAAACGATTTCTTTACTTGGAAGAAATGTTTCTTTTTCTCGGTGTAGTAGAATTTGCAGAGAATTATTATAGCAAATATTGATAATTTCTGGGTGGAAAAAATCATGTCGAGTTTTCGTTAATCACAATACAGCCTAGCTTATTAAAGATAGTATTATTTCCACCAAGTGTACATAGTTTTATGTAGAACCTGGTCGAAAGAGTATTGTCGATTATTATGCGAGTTAAATGCAACAGCGAACTACGCTGTCGGAAATTTGTTCCAAAGTTTTTCATTATGGCTAGAAATATATTTCTACTGCAGATGGCGGGTAAGAAGGAAGGCAAGTTCCAACGTCGTATATTTTCTCCCTTCTTCCGCCGTTTCCATTATGCATACAACATACTTGATGACCGGCACGACTAGGCGAAAAAAAAGAAAGAAGAGAAACGCAACCTTAATCTCGACCTACCGCTCCATCCTTCTTTGCGCATTTTACTTGGAGGTCTCTTTCAAAGGGAGCAGCTTCTCTCGCGAACGTAGATATAGTCGCGCGATATTTCGCCTCGCGTTGAAAAAGTGTTTATTGTAGCGACATATTGTTGAAACTTAATGAGTATCACTTGGCGCACTCGATATTCATGTAATGGGAATAATGAGAACAAAGCCCGTTGATTCAACATCGATATCATATTTCGAGGCAAAACTGTTCAAAGTTTAATACAAGCGAATATTCGATAGGATTCATTGCGGCAATTGTGTACCGTTACCTCTCCAAACTGTCAGATATCAAAGCCGTAATGATTACTAATTACAATATCTGTTCTATTGTACTCTTTCGCGTCCACCTCATTTCAAATCTCATTTCAAACCTCATTTCAAACGTATTCTCAAATTAGTGGCTCCCATTAAGAAGACTCGATAAGAGCCGCCATAATCCGCCGAGACAACGATTCTTGTCATCGTTCATAATCAATTACAAACTCGTCTGTATTCAGGCAGAAACTTGGTGAACGGCGAAGGATTAAACTATACTAACGGAGTACCCTATTTTCTCGGGGAGGAAGACGAGTTGATAAACCGAGTTTGTTTAAGGATCTATTTATACCGTACGTCGCTTGATATTTACAGCACATACGCGCGAGCTTAATAATTATCAATTTTATCTGTCGGGACGATCCAGGGATAGAAGCTCTTCGGCCTGTTTACCGTCAGCTCTTTTACCGTCGGTTATTCTCGAGAGACGAGACCGTCAATCCTAAAATTAATAATCGCCCGGTGCGACGCGTTTCCACATTTCCAAGGCGGTCTTACGAGAAAGTCGCGTCCACTTACATCGCACGTCGAATCTCACTTCGATGCTGGACGACATGGTGGGATTGGCGTACGCCGGATGGATGGCGACGCATCTGATCGGCTGGCCGTAACGTGATCGCTCAGCCAGAATCTCGCAAACACTGTAGGTTGCCCAAGTGCGCGGATTATCTATCTCGGTCGAGTTTACCTGGGGCCGTAGCGTCCTCATCTCGGTCTCGCCCACATACCTGCATATCGCCCCGAAAATTTGCATTTCCAATGGCTGTTCTGCAACAACTCTTACTCGCTCCTCTCCTCGACACCCCCCTCGGCGGTCTCGCTCTATCTCTCGCACGCGTCCCCCGGTCTTTGCTTGCCCACCCCATCGCGAGGCTCGTCGTCGCGGATTATTCAGAATTCTGCTCTTCGGGAGTCTTGCAGTTTCGCGGACTCCGACTAACGGCGACGCTCTCGTGAATTAAGCCTCTCGGTGCTCAGTTATTACAGTACGAGGGATAACAAGGGAGGGTAATATGAAAACATAAATTCGTATTTCGATGCTGTGTCCCGTGAGTTAAATTCATCTCGAGGGTCGTCGACGATTTGCCTAACGATTATCCACACGACAGCCCCTCCTCCGTCCTCCGCGTTTCTCGACGATTGTCTCTTTTTCGAATACCGCGTGAGAATGGGTTCTCGATCGACTCGCCGGCACGTCGACTCTCTCCCGGTCTCTCCGCTCGGTCATAATTAACACGTTTATGCATACACATATTCCGCACTGCGTCGGGTATGTCAATTAGGATAATTCCCAGTGAGTGAGCGCGAGTGAGTGGGTAAGCGAGAGCAGAGGAGAACGGTCGCCTTGTCAAGGGACCTCGTCTACAATTTGAAACGCGACCCGAGGCTCTGCGGGCGCCGTACTGCTAACCGAAAATTGCAAGGTTTAAAGCCGAGAGAGATTGCGCTTCTCCCCTCTGCCTCTCTCCCACGCTTGTTTTTGTGTTCCGCGCCGTAAAACTATTAAAGCCCGCTCCCGCGAGCGCTTTTCACCCTCTCGCGCGACGTCGAGGAGCAAGAAAAAGCGTCATCATCCCTTGCGTGAGGCCACGACGTCCTTCCCGTCGCACGAAATGCATCGTGTAGCTCCTTAATTTCGCCCGGGCACGATGCAGAATAGATCATGATTATTCATGGGGCGCGTGTTCTACTATCGACAGCGTCCTCGATGCATTACATGGAATCTTGGAGCGAGAGCGGGAACAAGCGCCTCGACGACGGCCGAAGAAGAGGCACGCCGATAACGGAAGACGCCTTGAAATCGATAGTAACGTATACTTTGATTACCCGGGACAACCCCCGTTCAATCACGGAGCCCGAAAGGCTTTCGATGGAAAACAGAAAAGAAAAGGAGAAAAATCGCTGTCGAAAGAGAGCTCCGAATGTTTTAGTCAATAAAACAACTTGCGATTATTAATTTCCGCAAAATCCTCCCCTTTTATTACCGATCCGTCGAGCTCCATAAATTGTCCAACAATTACGCTCGTAACCGGGTGAGCGAAACGAGCGTGAGGAAGGAAGCGCGGAGACCAAGAGACGGGGAACGAGACGGAGAACGGAGCGAGACACGCGAGGCGAGAGATCGCGCGTGCCAAGCAAGGGGGTCGGCGTCGCGCGAGTTAAGTAGTACGGAATCTACGTGCAACAATTACGAACCATTTAATTAGAGGCGAAGGATTCCCATACCGCGCTCTGCAAGTGAGCGTAGCGATCTCACCTGCTCGGGCTGTCACGTTGCTGCCGGGGAGAATTAGACGGTCGGCGTACTCTATCTGCGGTCGCTGAGGGCTGACTGGAATGAGAAAATTAGCACGGATTAATCCCTCCGTACGCCGTGTCGCGCTCGCGTGCGGCAGTCGGTGCGCGGCACCCTCCCCTTCCCCCTAACCCACCGCGGATGCCCTTTTAATCGCGCTGCGAAATTTCACGCCAACAACAGACCTCGAAACGTGATTGAGACTCCGCATAATGGTCTCCCAGCAAGACACGTTAGTACTACTTAGGATAAACGTGCACCAAGATATTTTCACTTTTACTATCTTTTGTAATCGACCTATTTTTCACAAATTTTCTAATCAGTCGTCACAGTAAAAACATATAATATCAATTATTTTGAAGAATCACTACAGAAATGGAAAAATTCGCGATATCAGATACTACGTCATCTCTTGACACGCCCGATAATAATTATTGCAGTTACTGCAAACCGCAAGATTAAAGGAGAAAAGAAACGGAGATTTTCTATTTTTCACCGCGCCAAAATCAATCCTGTTGCTTTATTGCTAATTGTGTCGTGGGATTACCAGGTGAATGTAACATCGAGGGAGTGGTCCGGATGGCTTTTGTACAACTAATCGGCGTGCGCTCGGTGTAACGTACGATCCCCGGACGAGAGATATTAATCTGCCATAATTTCGGCGATAAAAAGTACGAAATACACTCGATGACCAAGTTCAACGTGCGAATCTACATGAGTATAATATATATTTATTGAGTTATGCGAATCTCGTGTCGATCGTTTCATTAACGCGAGCTTTCGAAATCAATTATTTCATCATTAACATGAGAAAACAAGGGGATTCATGTCGGCCGACTCGATTCCTCAACCTCGTGTCGAATTTCCTCGTAATTGTTATCCCGTAATAGGCGCAATATTGCGATCGCGCGCGCACTATTGTACGAAATCCGTCTTACATCTTCGACGTTATTTACCAAGTATTATTTAGAAGAGGACTGAAAATCGCGTACACGGGGAGAGAATTTCCTTTTAAAATATACCCTGAAAATCATGTGGGACAAGATGGCAATTTCATCTACGTAGTAATTTACTAGTAAAATCTGGTAAAACGTATGGTCAAACAAGAGGAAATTCTCTCCGTCGATTTTCGCTTAAAAATAATTGGCGAGAAATTTCTGTTTTATCTGCGTACCTCTGACGACCAGCCTTGCTGGTTCAGATGCTAACGCGTCCTGCGTGGTGAAATCACTGGCAGTTACTTGACATTGCCAGAGTCCGTCGTCGAACTCTAACGTGGCCGATCTGACCCATAACGAACAGTCGCCGATGTCGGGCGAGCCCACCCACTCATATTTCTTCAAATGCATACCTATTGGCTAAACAAAAAGAGAAGGATTTCTATCAATTATTTTATATATTTAATCACATTTTTTCTCTTTATTTTTTTATTACTAATTAAATTAAACTATGACTACATCGCATATTACGTTAATCTTTCGCTCAAATGTTTAAGCACCTTTTAAATAATATGATTAAGTATATATATATATTTCTATATATATATAAACCATGGAATAATTTCGTTTACAACAGAATATAATATCGATTGAATAAGTGACGAGTATAGTTTTAGAAACATTCGCGATCAAATTTCGCGCGAGATTAAGAAAGACTCTGATAATTTTCGCCGATCAATTCCCTAATAGACAATGGTCCACGCACGTCAGCATCTTTCGATCGTTTAAGCGACGTGCTTCTCGTTACCGGAATCCTCTTGCGAGGCGCAGCAGCTCTGCTCTGCTCTGCCGCCAGTTGTTCCGTACGCTTCCTCCGAAATGAATCATCGGCTTCCGACCCCCGCGTCTTCTTTCTCGCGGATTAATTCACTGCAGCCGGGAAAGTGCGGCCCCAGCAAATCTCGCAGTCATAATGTGGCCGTAATTCAGCGATCGATTCCGCGTGCGCTCGTTCTTTAATCTCCCCTCCCCTCGGAACAAGCTTTTGTCTCCCGCGAAATCAGGAAAACTCCCTCCCCCTCTCTTGCACCTCTTCAAAAGTATAATTAAGAATTTCTGTAGCGATTTCACGTTATCATCCCGTTCGTCTCGGCGCTTTATATCTGTTTTCGCACGGGCAAAGTATCATAATTTTATTCAGCCTCATCGCTGTCGATATTTATGATTAAATGTTCGGAAACTCCGTAATAATACCTGCCTTGTATTTCTCCTTTTATCGCGATAATAAATTGATTCTTCTACGCTCAGTCGTCCATTCTTTTCCTTTCAGCCAGCTTCGCGCGATACGTTATCGCGACGGCTATTATATACCGTGTGTATCGTTGGCGTATCGGCCGGGGTCAGATTGTTTTATCCGCAAGTTAGCGGCTCCGGCGGAACGTATAGCGAAAAAGCTCCGTCGTTCAAAGGTATTAGTCGGTTAATGAGTTTTCGTAATCCGTCCATGTCCACTGTCTTGAATTAGCCTGTTGGACGATATTGAATTCGCGTTGTAAATTACTCCTTTTATTGTTACACAGCCTTGAGCAAAATCTAACGTCTACGATGAAATGTAACTCTATTTCTATTTCAAACTCTGTCAATATTTATTTCTACACGGAGAGAATTTTCTCTTAAAATTTATCCTGAAAATCGTATAATCGTAAGACAACACGACATCTCTAAGAATTTTACTAGTAAAATGTATGGTAAAATTGGAAAAAAAAACTTGCTCTCGTAAAGTTGTTGAAAATGCCATGTTGTCTCCCGAAAAGAAAAAGAAAAAGGTTACCAACCAAAAGTAAGGGAGCATAAAACCATTTCTTCCGGGGGTCTCGGTACTTGCGGAATAAAATGATATACTCAATTGAAGAATCCGGATTCTTTTTACGGGGAATTCCCGCGCGGGATGGCCGCTTTGAAACGGACGGGTCCTTAACTTCGGGCTTCTCAGGGGATGCAATGAGAGCTCCGTTAACTACGATAGGACGCCGTCGTGCGACTATATTAGTAATGAGCGGAGCGGTGTTCCCTGCGGAATGCGCAGTTTATCACTCGGTGGCAGACACAATAATACAATGGCGAAATCCTGGCGAAGATTATTCGCGCGTAGACGAAGAGCGCGGGATATGCGCCCTCAGGACAAGAAGAATAATGAGTTTGCTGGCGCGCACTTCTGCCTGGTGTTAGGGTGAAACGACGTCTATAGCACGTACCAGCAGCACGAATTAACGTCCTGGGTCATTGTCAGATTAATATCGTATCATTCTCAAATAATCTCCTTTTCATTCTGTCGTGTTACACAAAATGTCTACGCTATCTCGCTACAACCTTTCGCAATGGAATTGAAGGAACATTATTACACTAACGTTTGTGCAGTCTGATAATTACCGTATTTTACGTATAACAACGTTTATATTTCTATGCTGCACATTTTCATTACAACGTTATTTATGGAGCTTTACTCGATTGTCCAGCTGTATTTTATTTCAAGTGTAAACAGTGTAGTTAATTGTTTGAATTTTCAAAAATTCAGTCTCGTGCGTGCGATGCAGTTGATACAAAATATTTTACTAAAGTATCGTCATCGCGTTCTCGTGAAATTTGTTGGTATCTGGTCCGAACTTGCCCGATATCCTGAGAAGCTGCAGAGCGCCAATCAGTTGAACGATTTTTCAAACACACGTACGCAAAGTCGCTCTCATAGAGGGCAAGTTATCCCTCCGCCCGACGAGAATTTTGCAAATCCGTCAAATACACAAAGAACGTAAGGGCATCTGTGCGCAACAAATTTCAAAGTTAGCAACTTTTCGGATGAGCGTTTACCAGAGGGATATACCGTCGGAGCGAGCTTACAGCTTACAGCAAGTAGGGAAAAGAAAGGAGAGAAGAGAGAAAGGAACTGGCTGGTTATACCGGTAGCGATGGTTTTGCGCTATCGGTCTACGTCCTACGATCTATTTCGTTGCTCTCGAAGAGATTGCCATTGCGTCCACATTACTCCGGGGCTCTCCCGTGTTATCGGGGCCTTTGGCCCGGGGGTGTGTACCCTGGCCGTTTGCCGTACCCGTGGCTGAGCCTGTGTGCGCCGACGGGGTGGTCGGGGCTGTGTCTGCGGGTGCATTACGTTGATTGCTGGTCGCGGCCTCTCCGGAGAACACAGAGAGCATCCAAGAGGTTCGGCGGGCTCTGAGGGCGGCAGGGGGCGAAGACGGTTGGGAAACCGGGCGAGGAGAAAGAAAAAGGATAAGGGGCGCCCTTTCCCTCCCTCCGCTGTGCGCTGTGCGCTGTGTATCCATGAGGCGCACGGATTTTAATCCTTTCAATGAACAACGGCGACTTTTCTCCGACCAGTTTTTCGCCAATACTTTTCTTTTTCATTCTCTCACTTCCACCGAGTCGATTTGCCTTTTTATTCGCTCGTCTACTTTTAATAACGTTTTGTTAACAACATTTATCTTCCTCGGATGGCTACTGAAGGTTCTGCAACTTTCAAACTTGGACTGCAACATTTATTGCATCAGAATATTCGAATAGAAAGATATCAGAAAATGGATGATTGAATACAAATCTTGATTATCAACTGCAAACAATTGGCGTATCGCGTGCACAAAGTGAAAGAGGAACAAGACTGTGTTACAATTACGCCAAGAATGCAGTACAAGTAATAATTTTCGGAAGAAGAATGGATAATTGGATCAAGTAAATCCCGTACTACATTTATTTTGCCAAAGTGATTTCGTGCCTCTGGTTTGAGGATTCCGTGACGAAATGTTTCCTCGAGTTAATCGTTCCTATTAAGTAACATGCTGTTTCTTTCCGTCTAGCAATTTGTGAAAATCACGTGCATGCAACGGCGAACGAACTTATCGATTAAGATTGACTGAAATAGTGTCCATCCGCTTAAGATGGCTGCTCGGACTCGTTTGCATTGAAAATCGGAAAGAACTCGAAATGACCAATGACTGCCGCGTGACAAATGACACACACACAAACACGTGAACAAAATGATAATTGTAATAATTCGCGTGAATTAAAAAGTGTTGAGAGATTTGGACATTTTTGCGGATATCTCACGAAATGCTAAGTCACCAAATCAAACACCGTTTCCTTCGAAGCTTTTGCGAATCGGGTAAAACGGATGCGTCGTATCCGGCGCAATGTCGCAGAAAGTGCAAACAATGCGCAGAGAACGAAACGAACGGAAACGATGTGGTTAGAGGATTCAAGATGGGAAATGCGGAACGTACAGAGAGAGAGAGAGAGAGAGAGAGCGCGCTTGTATCGCAAACAAGAGTGGCTCGCGAAGAGAAAATTATCCCCCGCTCGTTATTTACATCTTTCATAAATATTCACTTTCGCGGGCGAAAGTCAAGCCGGAAAGGGGAACGGATGGACGAGGGAGGGCGGGCGAGAGAAAAGCCGGGGAGGGAGAGGGAGGTTATCTGGTTGAGGAAGTAACGAGAAACCGCGCGGGGCATAAATCTCTGGGCTTTCGGGGGCGATCTCGTCTCAGGATCACCCGCTGCGAAAAGCCTTCGTCGCTGTCTGAGATAGTAATACGGTATTCAAGTCCCAGGTTGCCGCCCACCGCCGCCCATTTCTAACAGAGTTTCAGGAGCATCGGGCGATATTTGCATTGTTGTTTCCGATAAGTGGAATCACGCAAAGACCCTCGTCTCGAAAATTTCTAAGGAACCACCTCGCCACCGATTCGAGAAGCGTTCTCGCTTCTAAAACGTTTCCCGACATTTTAGAAAAATCTCAATTATGTGAGGCAGCTCCGTGAATGGATCGTTACGCAAGTTATTTTCCAGCGGGAAAAATTCTTTAATAAAATGTTTCGACGCGACGTCGTTTAAATAAATTATGTTTCGCGCACTTAGCAATTTGTCATGTATTGAAATTTCTCTTCCGTATTAAAAGGTAGCACATACTAGGGTGAAAATTTGTTTCACCGTAAAATTTCTTTCGTTATGTAATCGAAAAATTCAGCCATCTTTTAGATTGCTTTTGTTTCTCTCCGATATCCAGTGATAAATTCAAAAGATGCCACTGGCAAGAGCTACTTTAATTAAAACCTATTGTTCTATAATTCAATTAATCTACGTAATTAACAAGGAGTAAATTTCTCTGTTTAACAATACGTTTTGTAATTACAGATACTTATTGACAATCAAGATAGGATATCAAATATCCCGATAAATTTTCCCTCGAAATATCGATAATTGCGTTTACAACATAAAATGATACTTTGCATGTGTTTGTAAAAGTAAATATAATTGAAAGACGTCTTCCCTGAAGAAATATTTGAATTGAAGAGAAGAGAATAAGATGGTGAAAAAGTGTACGATACACTTGTGAATAAAGTTAATCTGGCT